CGGGCCTGACCTAGGGTGAGTTTTAAATAGGGACAATTTTTAACGATTTTAAAGAGCCACAGCTACCAATATTTGGGTTTTAATTGGTTTTTAGTAGGGGAAATTTTTTGTATGATGTTTTAATATGCTGTGAGCCGCCCTGAGTCCCATGGGGAGAAGGGCGGCATATAAATCCTGTAAAATAAATAAATAAATAAATCATGTCACCCCTTGTCCTTCTCCTTATTAAACTAGACATACTCAATTCCAGCAACCATTCCTTATATGTTTTAGCCTCCAGACTTCTAATCATCTTTATTGCTCTTTTCTGCATAATAACAGAGAGCTGTTAGGTTCATGCTTACTTGAGGTTCAAAGCACTCGAAGAGGATGCACAGCCCTGCTCCTCAGTTCACTCTCAAGTACGACAGTAGCTTTAAGAAAGAGGAGAAGCATAGTAGCTAGTGCAGAGGATGAGAATAATTTAACAGGACTGGTTGTTTCTGGAGTGCTTTGGGCACTATATTTATGAAGAAATCAAGAAAACTGTAGTGTATCGGTAGTTCTCAATTGAGTCCAGAATTTCTGTTGCTAAGTAAGATGGTTATTAAGTGAGTCGTACCCAATTTTATGATCTTTTCTGCCATGGTTGTTAAACAAATCACTTCAGTTGTTAAGTGAATCATATGATCATTCAATGAATCCAGCTGCACTGTTTATTTAGCTTGTTGGAAGCTGGCTGGGGACATCACAGATGACAGTCACATGAGCCTGGGATGCTGCAGCCATTGTGGGGATCTGTCATAAGTCATTTTTTCAATGCTGTTGTAACTTCAAACGGTTGCTAAACAAATGGTTGCAAGTCGAGGATGACCTGCATTTAGAGGAAGGACAATCATGACTATCAGTAATATAGAAATTTAACCTGCTGAAAACAAGCTGAAAGAGTTAGGAGACATCATAATCTGTATGGAAAGCAAAATGAAACCTGTCTGATATCTCCGTAATCATGATCGTAGTAGTAATGGGAGAAGATTTATTCTCTAGTGTTCTTGAAGAAGGTCTATATAACTACTAGGTTCAAGCAAGTAGATTTCATCTAAACATTAGGAGGGATAGATTTCTGAGAGGAGATTGCTCTTCAGCAATGAATCAGTCAACATTCTCAGGACTCAACTTTGGTTGATGGTGGACAGCAACATGTCAGAATTATTTCAAGATTCCTACTTTGAACTGAGAGTATTAGAGGGTCACCAAGGGCCTCCCTTCCTCTAGAATCCTACATTGTCATACCTCAGCACTTGACTGCTTCAGAACTCATCAAATTCAATATTCAACATGTTTGGAAGCAGAAATCTTGTCCTGGGGTTCGTCTTTCTCTCGTTAGTAGACATGCAAGGAAGAATTTGGTGATGTTGGCTTGCTTCATGACTGACTATTTCTTCCAGCTGAAATAGTGGGTCATGTGGTAAGTCATGTGATTTTCTCAGTACCTGTTGGTTTTAGTATTCAGCGTATCTTCTGGAACGAATTTTTGACAAGAACTGAGGTGCCACTATATAGGTAACCAACATGGGCTACATTGCATTGTGTGTTAGTTTTATTTTGGCTAATATTTGATCACGATATCTCTTTTGATAATATTACAAGGGTAATTTTATTTGAATTCAGGATATTGAATGGAGTGCAGTGAATTTTCTTAAAATATTTTTAAATAGATAATTTTAATTACTTGTAAAGACATTTAAATAAGGAAGGGCTGCCCCTTCCAACCCCATTACTATGGAAATAAAAATTGAGTTTCTACTCCAAGCTAAAATCTTTAAGAGAAATAGTCCAATGGCAAAGGATGAAAACTTTTCCAAAAGCTTTTTCCAAAATAGAGGATAATTTGATATTATTGTTTGAACATAAGAGATTGCAAGAATAACGTACTTTTTTTTCATTTGCCTATAGCCTAAACTTTTGTCACGGGAATTATTGGATTTGGTGGCTTCACATTTCAACCTCAAAGAAAAGGAATATTTTGGGATAACATTCATAGATGATATGTAAGTACATCATGCAGTTTTTTTTAAACCCCTTGAATAGTCAAAATGTAAGCTGGCGTTTCCAAATTTATTTTTAGAGAATATCATAGGGTTCGTTTATTGACTGATATCCCCAAACTATAGAATTCTCCTTCTGTTTGCTTCTTTTATGATTATAGAAAAATAAATTGCTGTCTGGATATGCATAGTGTTAACTGCTATGCCTTTTATTTTGCTTTATTGTTAGGTTATCCTGCTCAACCTTTTTCCGGTCAGCCTAGGTCAGTGTGGTGCTAATATTATTTATATATTTCAGACACCTACTAAACAGCATTTCTTAGGGATTACATAGCTTTTCCCAGCCTGATATTTGGATTACAACTCCCAGAACTCAGTCAGCTGGCCGGCTGTTAAAAGATTTTTGAGTTGAAGTCTATACATCTGGAGGACATTCAGATTGGGGAAAGTTAAGCTAAATGCATTCAAGAATTGGAAAGCTGGTTAGATAGTTCTCCTCCAATTATTATGTTTCCACTCCAAGTTAATTTCCATGCTGTTTACACACATAGGGTTACATGTTTCCCTCTTCACATGCAGGGATTGGGGGAGAATTTAGAGCAGGGAAGATGCAGCCATGAAACAATGAAGTTATAGAACTATAGAACATAGAATCAAAGGATTAGAAGAGGCCTCAGAAGTCTTCTAGGCAGGAGATGTTATACCAGGGGTAGTCAACCTTGGCTCTTTTATGACAATTCCATGCTGGCTCAGGAATTCTGGAAGTTGAAGTCCACGAGTCATAAAAGAGCCAAGGTTGACTACCCCTGTGTTATACCATCCCAGTCAAATGGTTGTCCAGTCAATTTTTGAAAACCTCCAATAATGGAGCATCTCACAATTCTGGGAAGCTGTTTCATTGATTAATTGTTCTGCCTGTCATAAAATTTCTCCTTATTCCTTGAATCTCCCTTTAACAAGCTTTCCGCCCATTACTTCTTGTCCTGCCCTCAGGTGCTTTGGAGAATAAGTTGACCACTTCTTCTCTGTGACAGTCCCTCAGTGAAGACAGTTACGATGTCCCCCCAATCAGTCATCAAAGTTGACAATCTTCCTCTAGTTTCTCTTCCAAAATTTCTTGATTTTACTTGTTATACTGTACATACAGACATGCATACTGTATGTAAGCAAAATAAATTATATGTGTATTTGCATATATTTTCTGCTATACGAACGATTGATTTCCTGTTGCTAGATGTTCTCAATTTTTCTATAGGTAAATTCTGTCAATAGATTTTGAAGGTGTTGGTAGATCTGCTCCTATTTGAGAAAAAATTCCTTAAAAACATAAGTCTGAACATAAGATCTCTTCATCTTAACAACTTTCTGGTTTGGGAAAATACCTATTGATGTTAAATTCCTTTTTGCGTTATTTTGATTATGAATTGCAACCTCCAGAGGGCAGTCAAATCCTTTAAAAAAAAAATTCCCCACTATAGAAGACACCACTTAAACTTTTTCTATTAGACAAAGCGTGTGACTCAGTGACACAAATATTGTTCAGTCAAAGCACTCATGAATAATAACAATATGCTTTAATGGTGAAGGCTTTCTTTTCCTCATGCTTAAAGATGATAGTCAGCAGACGTGAAAAGAACAAATGAAGATTGAACCACCACTCCATACTTAGTGACATCCACCTAGATTGGATTCCAACTTTTTTCATATCCAGTTAGTAATAGTGAGAATGCCTAATTCTTCTAGTGTATAAAAGGTAAAGGTAAGAGTCCCTGCAGATTTTACTCTGCTAGTTGTTGCCAACTATAGGGAGCGGTGTTCATCTCCGTTTCAAGACCATTGAGCCAGCGCTGTCCAAAGACACTTCTGCAGACATGTGGCCAGCATGATGTCATGTTACACCGTTATCCTCCCACTAAAGTGGTACCTATTTATCTACTCGCATTTGCATGCTTTTAAACTGTTAGGTTGGCAGAAGCTGGGGCAAGGATGGGAGCTCACCCCATTGCATGGTGTTTCGAGTCTCAAACCTGTGCTGCCATCTTTCCAGCTGACAAGCCCAGCATCTTAACCACTGAGACACCGTGCCACCCTCTGGTGTATATGAGGCTGTAAAAAAGGAATGGCTTTTGCCTTCCTGTTTATTTTGAATTAATAATGTGCTATAATAGGATTTTGAAGGCTGGTAATTCCTTTGCTCAAGAACTTAAATCCTAATTTCCTTTTGTGTGTGTGTTTGTGTGTGTGTATGTGAAGCCAGCAATATTATCAGTAAGTTATTACAAGGTGGCTAAGTGGTACAAACAATTCAGAAAACACTTTTTAAGCATTTGATAAAGTAACCAGAAACCAGTTTATTACATCTTGAGTCTCTGATCACATCATCATCATCATCAAGTTGGAAGGTACCTTGGAGGTCATCTAGTCCAACCCCCTGCTCAAGCAGGAAATCCTATACCATTTCAGACAAATGGCTATCCAGTCTCTTCTTAAAAACTTCCAGTGTTGGAGCATTCACTGCTTCTGGAGGCAGGTTGTTCCACTGGTTAATTGTACTAACTGTCAGGAAGTTTCTCCTTAGTTCTAGCTTGCTTCTCTCCTTGATTAGTTTCCATCCGTTGCTTCTTGTCCTGCCTTCAGATGCTTTAGAGAATAGCTTGACTGTCTCTTCTTTGTGGCAACCCCTGAGATATTGGAACACATTTGGAATTGCTGTGTAGAGTTAGTGTATCTTTCATTTGAATGGACAGTCGACTTCCACTTTAGACTCTTTGAGAAAGTTCACCAATTATGTGCATGGCAATTATTACTCCTATATTTCATTTTGGGCTCCGTTCACAATCATACAGGTAGTCCTTGATTACATTGGGACCAGAATTTCCATTGCTAAGCAAGGCGGTTGTTAAGTGAATCACACCTGATTTTATAGCCTTTTTTGACGCAGTTGTTAAGCGAATCACTGCAATTATTAAGTGAATCATGCAGTCATTAAGCAAATTCAGCTTCCCTCATTGACTTTGCTTGTCAGAGGATGGCTGGGAAGATGGCAACCCCATGACTCAGGGATGCTGCAATCGTCATAAATACATGCCATTTGCCAAGTGTCTGAATTTCAACTGCATGACCATGAGGATGCTGTGATAGTCACAAGTGCGGGGATTGGTCATAAGCCACTTTTTCAATGCTGTCGTATCTTCAAATAGTCACTAAATGAATGGCTGTAAGTAGAAGACTACCTATATTTCAGCCCATTAATTGGTTCTTAATCAAGAGGAAGGATAAGATTGGACTTTCCTGAATATTTATAAATGCTACATTATCTGTGCTTGCTATGAAGGTAGGCAATGAATAAAATGAGAAAAATAGAAGAGTTAGCCAACTTCATCTCTAAGTTACCTTGATCTTTTAAATTGCCGAGAAATAGTCTCAACTATGTGAATTAATATCATTTGTTTCTTATGTTTCCTGTTCTGTTTTGATGTTTTTCAGGGGACACAATGTCTGGCTACAGTTAGATCACAGGGTTCTGGATCATGATTTACCTAAAAAACCCGGTCCAGCAACTTTGTTTTTTGCAGTCAGGTAAGTATAGATATGCAGTACAAAATGAATTTGCACTGTGGAATTTCTAGTTGTAACCAATTTTTTTTTTAAAGAATAAATGGATCTTTGTTATTATCAATGACAAATAAGCAGGACAAATTAAAAAAAATAGTTAAAAGGATGACATATGCATGAACATGTGTGTCACATTTCCCTATCACTTCTGAACTAGTACTGTATGTCGGCCCATGTGGTAATTTTTATATTTAAGTCTTAACAAGATGACTCATTATACTAGTGGTTTTACATTTGAAATGCAGTTTAAAGAAAACCTTTTAAGGAACCTCCTAGTCTTCTCTATGTGTTGTGACTGCACATGTTCAGAGGGTTGGAGGTACTCTTAATATATCTCTCTCCAAACTCCATACTTTCAAGGTTCCTGCTCAGACAATAAAATAATAACACGATAGAAAATGAGCTAGTGTCAAATCTTCAGAATATACGCCACCCAAAAAGCAATTGAGGAAGAAAAATTACTCCCGTAAGACAAGCTGCTACATATATGCAGTCAGCAAAGTTCTACTCCCACCATCACCCCTATCCACTAATGATATTACCTAGCCTGACAAGGAAACATCTACAGAAAGAGAAACAAGTTTAGAACACCAGAATTCACAATCTTGAAATCAATCTTGATGTGATGTTAATCTCTTAGAACAGGGGTCCCCAACCCCTGGTCCATGGATCAGTACCGGGCTGCAGCATGCCAGCAACCAGTCTGTACAAACAAGCAAAGCCCGATCCACGGGATGCAGGCAGCACACAAAACCACGCACCCACCAGTCCGTAGAAAAACCTCTCTCCATGGAACCGGTCCCTGGTGCCCAAAAGGTTGGAGACCTCTGTCTTAGAATCATAAGGCTGGAAGGGGACGTTGGAGGTCTTCCAGTCCAAATCCTGGCCCAAAGCAAGAGTCGTCAGTTGTCATCGTGGATAAATGGTTGTCTAGTCTTTACTTGAAAACCTCCAGCAATGGAGCATCCTGGAAGGCAAGCTATAATCATTCTCACTGTCAGGAAATTCCTCCTTATTTCCAGGTTGGATCTCCCTCTGACAAGCTTTCATCCATTGCTTCTTGTCCTGTTCTGTTCTCAGATGTTCTGGAGAACAAATTGATCCCCTCTTCCCTGTTACAGCCCTTCAAGTATTGGGAAATGGCTATCATTTCCCCCCCTAACCCTTCTCTTTGTTAGGCTAAACCAGATTAGTTTCCTTAGTTGTCCAGTTTAGCCTCCAGACTTCTTATCATTTTTGTTGCTCTTCTCTGTATTCTTTTTAGGCACCAGCATCTTATTTTGTTTTGTGGTGACCAAAATTGAATACAGTATACCAAATGTGGAGTATTTGCAAGTCTTGGAGGAGAATATTTCATAATTGTGATACCATAATTAGGAAAGCATTTAGATAGATAACCTTTGTCATTTTTTACTGTGGGCACAATGGCACACATTAAAAATGAAATTTAGTCTCAAAGTATACACATACATAACACAAATTTAAACATACTATATGCAACTTATATATAGACTTACACCCTTACATATAAGATACATATAAATATTAATCATAACAGAAGGAGGAAGCTTGAGAGTTCACAAGGTTAATACTGTGTGGAACAAAACTGTGACTGAATCTGGATGTTCTGCTTCGGATGCCACAAAGCCTCCTCCCAGAAGGTAACAAGGAAAACAGGTCATGAAGAGGATCTGTAGTGTCCCAGACCCTGCTCTGGGACCCTGCTCAAGCAATGCTTATGTGGTATGTCCTGGATGGAAGGGAGGGAGTTGCCAATGATCTTTTCAGCCATTCTCACACTCCTTGTCTGAAGCAGTGATGCTTCCAAACCAGACTGTGATGCTGTATGACAGGATGCTCTCGATCGTCCCTCTGTAGAAAGTGGTAAGGATAGGAGAAGGAAGATGTGCTTTTCTCATGCGACACAGAAAATGCAGGCGCTGCTGTGCCCGCTTCACCAGTGTCTCGCTATTGAGCGACCAAGCCAGCCTACTTGTTAACTGCACACCCAGGAACTTGGTTATATCCATTGGTGGCCTTGGAGTTTTTTGTGGACCGGGACAATTGTACAATTCTTTTTTATAATCTTTTTATAATCTTTCAGCACTGTTCCTGATATATCTGATTTTATTCTAAGAATTCTCAACCTGTGACCTGGCCCAGTTATCAAATTTCATAAATGAAAGAAAAAGAACAAAGCAATAAATTAGGTTCTTTAGTATTTATCTTCATGATTAAGACTTCATCTTATTTTTACATCTTCATCTGCTATCTTAAGAGGACACAAACTGACAACTTATTAACATGACAATAGTTACATGAAACTTTTTGAGATCTTTTAAATGAAAACTCCTCCATGAGATCAGTTTCACCCAATGCCTTTCCAATGTTATTTTCAGTTGAGCTCATTGCTAATCCAGCACCTTCAGCCATGGAAGAGAATGGATAAGTTTTTATAATGTTCACTTTTGAAAATAACTTCTCAGCAGGTGTAACTAATAACAGTGCAATGAATGGGAATTGCTACATGCAAATGTGAATGTATATATTGAATGTTATAGCCTAGAGTTCCTTTTTTTGATTTGCAGAATTGCCAAAATTGCCTTTCCCTTGAGTGCTGCTTTATGTCCCCAATTGTCAAAATTGCTGTCTCCTAAAATCACCATAGGTTCAGTGATACAAATCTCCATGTGATTACTACTTGGAAGTAAAGAGATCAGATGAGCAGATCTAAACTCAACATCTGGGTTTTCCGCTTGTTAAAATCAGTGTCTTAAATAAGGTAACTTACTGCTAAGTTACCACGGAAAAACACCATTAATATATTGCCAAAACCTGTAAAATCAGTACCTAGAATTTACCAAATGAAGCAGCCTAATAGGCATGACATCTGTTTAAATGTAGCTTGTCCCTTCTTCTATTTGTTCTTATCAATTATATATCAGAAAAAAATATTTTGTAGGTAATTTGATTTCTTTTCTTTCAAAAATCTGTGCAATATGGATAGGTTCTTTCAGTTTGGGATTTTTATTGCAGTGATATTTTATGGTTTCATTGAAAAATACTCTTGGGGAGTGAATTTTTTTGCTGACTCAAACAAGAATCTGATTTTTACAACACATATATTTGATAAGCCATCCCCTTTGTTTTACGTATTGTACGAATGTTTTTACGCAGTGTTGTTCGACTAATTGAATTGATTTGCAGTACAATGGCATTGGTTTTTAACCTTTGATTTACAACTGTGCGATTACAAGATAATTGTAAGATAAATTATTCCTCTTTCCATTTCTTTTAGATTTTACATAGAAAGCATTTCATTTCTGAAGGACAAGACCACAGTTGAACTTTTTTTCCTCAACGCAAAGTCCTGTGTGCAACAGGTAATTTGGCTCAGTTTTCCATACAACTGCAGATTATATACTTCAGTAGTTGTAAACTTACAAGTAATTAAATTATATGGATGCACTTCTACATTTAAGTACCCATCAACCAAAGGAAATGTGAGTAATTCTTTTTCACATGTGCATGCGTGTGCAAGCACACATCAATTCTCAAATACAAAGAATGAGCAATAGGCTCCAACATAGAACAGGTGTCATCCATAATGAACAAATAGGGTTGAGGAAAAGTTAAGTAAAGGAATATTGGGGCAGAGAGAGATTTGCTTTGAATGTGTACGTAAAAGAAAGCTCTGAAAGATTTGGCTTGTATAATCATTCCCTCATTGGAAAAGAATGTATAAATAAAGCTAAACATTTTTCTTAAGAAACCTTATAAGCATCCATCAAAATCACAACATCTACCAACTCTGTTCATCGGCATGTCAAGAGAAGATTTTTTTTTCATGTCAAATCTGTGTTTTGACCATTGTGAAGTCATACTTCCAAAAATGGTAGGGCAGAACAGTTTTACCTGCGGTAAAAGAATTGCGAACATATCTTTCTTCATTAGTTCTGGGCATATCCAGAACAAGGTGGAAAGTACAAATGACTTTAAAAAACAGATGTATATATTCATGAGACAAAGAATATTTACATATGTATGCAGGTAGTCATTGACTTATGACCACTTATTTAGTGCCCCCCCCCAAAGGCACTTATGTCCTGATTCTGAAGTTCTGAAGGTTGCTGTTCTGCAGCCACCTGCAGCACTTTTCGGGAGTAGCAACCGGCCAGCATTTATGACCATTTCAGCATTCTGCGGTCATATGACTGTGATTTATGATGTTTTTGCCAAAAACAGGCATTTGCTTTTGATTCTCAGCTAAAGCACCTCAGAGAAAACCACGGGTTCCCTTAAAAATTGTAGCATTGTCTTAATGACAATGGTGTTCACTTTACAATTACTGCGTTCGCTTAACAACCACCACAAAAATATTTAAAAGAAATCAGGTCAGTCATATGGGCTACCCGGTTTATATCTGTCACAACCTCTCACCATGATGGGCGGGCTCCATTACAGTTGTAAGACAAGGACTCCCTATATGCTCAAAATATAAACATTGTATTGTTTGGGGTTGAAGGGAGCAATGATCTGTAATACTGCAAATATTGTAGAGAACTACTAATGAAAGTTTTAACTGCTTTGTGAGTAGTTTGAACTGAGAATAACATATTACACTTAACTAGTAGGTGTGTACTAATTGGTATCGGAATAAATGATGCCAGGCTGTGGTTTCTTGTGGAACCAGCTAGTCAGCCCAAGGGAAGAGTACTGTCCCCAAACCCAGTTTTTCTAGGTGGCTTTGAAAGTGGGTGGCAACTCCAAAAATGCAGTAAATGTCTTTTTAAAAAGTATTTGCACTATAACACGAAACTTCTTTTCGCTCATTCCCATGTCATTCAAATCAGGAGGCAGGGAGGGGAAAGTAGTGAGTTAGGTAGGTGGTGAGATTGAAAGTAATCTAGCCTTGGCTCCCTAAGGACTGAATTAGCATTGCTGACTCACTTTTCCACAATATAGCATTTTATCCACTAGGACGTTGATTGATTTTCAAGAGCAGAACCTTGCTGGTCTGTAAGTCTTTGTAGATTGTCCAGCAAAGCCAATGGTAGCAGATTCTAATGTTAAAGATTAGGAACATCCAAGAGCCATTAATCCCTCCTACTGGTCCACTCAAGAAGTTTCTGTCATATGATTCATTTATTATATTCAGACTGGCGAATCAGGGGATTATTATATCAAATAAAACACCATTGAAAAGCCACAAATAGAATAAGCAACTCTGTTATTGTAAGAATTATAATCAACTCCTCTGTTAATTTATTTCATCCTCTTTTAAAATCCTCTGAACCACTAACCATTAGGTCATCTTTATTTTCCATCAATCAATTTCCTACATAAATCTTCTGATCATTTTAATTACTCCTTTCTGCCTATTATAGAGAAGACAGTTCTGTGATATCTTTGTGGCTGATCACAAAGAACTCAATAACCTATGTATGATTGTGCCTTAAATTTATATAAATTTATGATTGTGGCAATTTTATTTTTTCCATTCCTAATTATCATCAGGTGTTTCCAGCCCTGATTCTACTTCTAGCCATTAAATGGATGATATTATTGATCTCAATCTAATCTTACTAATTAGTTCCCATTAGTGAAATCCCTGTGTGAGAATATGATTGGGAGATGGGTCTTTATACCCTAATGTATTTCATTTGACACTGAACATTTAACACATGTTCTCCTTTCATTTAGATAGAAGGAAATATTTATTCAGCTTACTTTCACTATTCTGAATCAAATGTTATATCTCAGCAGTTCATAGTTTGTATCTAATTTCTGATGGCTTATATAGTCCCAAAAAAATTGGAATAACCAGTACCAATGTAGAACATTTGTTGGGCTCAACTGTTTATTCTGCTCTATTGTGAAAACTTTCTCTTTATTCTCGTCCCCACAAATACATATTTTGTATTTAATCAATGGCATCTTCCCAAGAGGATTCATCTTTTCCCATGACTGCTGAATTTACTCAAAAAAATCATATTTATTTATTGCCCAAGCCATAACCTAATCACTGGCTGAACATACTGTATCTGCATCAGACTGGAGATGCAAATGACACAATGACACATTCAACAGAAAATATATATTTCTGTAATCTCAGTTATTCCTCTCACTTTCCGAGTTGAGGATTACTTCAATTCTACCACTTCTTTTATGGAGCAGAAATTTGTAATACTTCTAAGCTTAATAATAAGTGAAAATAATAATTAATATATTCTCGTCTGCACAGCTTAGCTAAAGAATGATACTGAAAAGGGTGTCCCAATCAGAATTCTCATAAAACTCCCACAAATGTAATAGCCTGGAGTGGAGAAGCTTAGATAGTGGGGTGTGGTACAGAAACCTGGCCAGATCAATAATTCTATGAGTTACTGAACATTTATTAACTGTTTCAGTAAAGTAATAGTTGACTGAAGTATCCAGTGTGAGATAAAACTGTTGCCAAGTGGGGTATTTCATGGGACAGGAAAATAGAATAACACCATATAAATATATTCTGTAATTTGATTACAAGGGATGACTATTTTTCTGCTATTAACTTTCTTGTATCGTTTGTCCACAGCTCCACCCTCATGTCTATACTAGCCAGCATATTATTTCCATGAAGGTCCCAAGTTCAACCAATCATGAACCCTAGAGAGCCACTATCAATCAGTACTGATAATACTAAAATAGGTGGATCAGGGATCTGACTCATTACCAGACAGCTTTCTACATTCCTAGAAAATAAAGTGTGTTTGAACACAGTTTATTTTTGTTCTCATAGAATATACTTTGTGAGCTGCTTATTATACCCTTCTTAAAAAGCTGTTTGGATTTATAATGATAACTGAAATGTCCTGTTTTGTCAGAAAAAAACCCCTCCTTTTCCTTTTAAAAGTATCCTAAATTAGACAATTTTAGAAAAGTATTTGGCATAGGCCTGCATTTATTTTCATAACGGTGTGTGCAATGCCCTACAGTGTCGTCTTGAGGGAAGAAGTTGAAACAGTTTATGTCCAGGATGTGAGGGGATCTGTAGATATTTTCACAGCCCTCTTTCTGGCTCGTACAGTATACGGGTCCTCAATGGAACACAGGGTGGTAGCAATTGTTTTTTCTGCATTCTAACTATCCATTGAAATCTGTGTCTGTCTTGTTTGGTTGCAGTGCCAACCCAGACAGTTATAGAGGTGCAAATGACAGACTCAATAATTCCTTTGTGGAACTGTATCAGCAGCTCTTTGGGCAGTCTGAGCTTTCTGAGTTGGCGCAGGAAGAACATTCTTTGTTGTGCTTTTTGATGACATTTTTGATGTTAGGTGTCCATTTCAAGTCTTGAGATTTTATAGAACCTAGAAACTTGAGGGTCTCTACTGTTGATACTGTGTTGTCTAGTATTGTAAGAGGTGGTAGAATTTTAGGCTTCTCCTAAAATCTATCATTTCTACAGTTTTGAGTGTGTTCAGTGTGTTATAAAATTGGGATCTATTTTGCAATGTCAAGAACCAGTTTTTGCATTAGAACCTTAGAGGTAAATTCAAACTGAGATTATAAGCGAGCAGTGGAATTGGATTCTCTAAATCATCTGGAGATCAAATCCTGTCAACTTGTTCTATAAGTTTCTGTCATGACATTAACCTGCTTATACTAGCATTTAAGGCAAGTCCTCAGCATTTTGCATTTTGTGGATCAAGCAATATTGTGTTACTTCCTGTTGACTGCTGGATTACATAGGCATTAGATCGCAAATATACAGATGTGGTCAACTGATGAGCCTTCTGCTTGTGGAACAAACTGACAGTAGTGAGGAAGAGCAAAACGCCTCAATAAAGAACCGATACAAAAAGACACCTATTTCAACTTATTTCTGACTTTAGCTAATATAAACATCCATGTCGGAACATTTTGGACACATTTTCCCCTAATGTCTGTCTGTCACTGGAATTTGATATTGTGTATGTTTTAAGAGGTGCAGAGAAATCATGTAGCATGAATAACAGGAGTGTGAGAACTGATACATAATTGTATTCCCATTTGTATTTTAATTCAGGGCCTGTGAATTAAAGTTTGCCCTTAAGTAAAGATTCAAAGGCAAATGAGATTGGTTCATATTAATATATAACCCAAATGTCATTTTATCTCTGCTGCAGTGAATGTCCCATTGTTGGGACTATGGGAATATTTATTAGGCTGCAGTAAACGGCTGTTTCACTTCAAAGCAAAACAAAGTCAAAATATGGCTTAGCAAGGTATGTGAAGCCAACCATTGTCTAAGATGGATATACTCAGTGGTGGGATTCAGACGGTTTGCACCACTTCAGCAGAACGGTAGCTAATTTTTGGTTGTCCAGGCCCAGAATGGACTTCCGGAAGCGGCATCCACACA